TTTCAGAGAAAGAAATAAAAAATCCTAAAATTGATATGTAATCACAAAAGTCAAATAGTCAAAGCAGTCTTGAGCAAAAAGAATAAAGCTAGAAGCATTATGCCCCCTGGTTTCAAAATATACTACAATGTTATAGTAATTAAAACAGCTTGGTACTGGCATAACAACAAACACATACACCAATTGAATAGAACAGAGAGCCCAGAAATAAATACACACATTTATTACCAATTGATTTTCAACAAAGATGTCAAAAGGACACATGAGGAAATGACAGTCTCTTCAATAAATGATGTCGGGAAAACTGAATATCCACATTTAGAGGAAGTAATTAAAACTTTATCTCACACCGTATGCAAACATCAACTCAAAATGGGTTAAAGACTTAAATATAAGACCTAAAACTGTAAAACTACTAGGAGAAAATATAAGGAACAGCACTATGACATCAGTCTGAGCAATAATTTTTTTGCATTTGACCCCAAAAGCACAGGAAACAAAACTACAAATAGGCAAATGGTATTATATCAAACTAAAAAGCAACTGTACAGCAAAGGAAACAATCACCATGGTAAAGAGACAACCTACAGACTGGAAGAAAATATTTGCAAACCATACCTCTGCTAAAGGGTGAATATCCAAAATATCTAAGGAGTTCAAACAATTTAATAGCAAGAAAACAAAGGACCAAATTAAAAATCGGCTAAGGAACTGAAAAGACGTTTCTCAATGGAAGGCATACTGATGGCCAACATGTATGTGAAAAAATTCTAATCTTCGGCGAAATTTAAATGAAAACCACAGTGAAATATCACCTCATACCTGTAATAATGGCTGTTATCAAAAAGACAAAAAATAGCAAGTGTTGACAAAGATGTAGAGAAATTGGAACCCTAGTACACAGTTGGTGGGGTTGTAAATTTGTACAGCCATTATGGAAACCGTATGAGGTTCTTCAAAAAATAAAACTACCATGTGATCCAGCAATCCCACTATTGGGTATATATCCAAAGGAAATGAAATCAATATGTTGAGAGATATCTGCACTCCCATGTTCATTGCAGCATTATTCCCAATAGCCAAAATGTGGAGTCAACCTAATTGTGTATCAACAAATAAACAATAAAAGTAAATATAACGTAGTATATATATGCAATGGAAAAATATTTAGCCTTAAAAAAGGAAGAAATGTCATTTGTGACACTATGGATGAACCTGGAGGATATTATATTAAGTAAAAAAAAATCCAGGCACAGAAAGACAAATATTGTATAATCTTACTTATCTGTAGAATCTAAAAAAGTCAAACTCATAGAAGCAAAGAGTAGAGTGGTGGTTACCAGGCATTGGAGAGATGAAGGGTTTGGGAGATGGTCAAAGTATACAAAATTTCAATTAGACAGGAGGCGTAAGTTTAGTTCAAGAGATCAATTGTACACCATGGTGCCTTTAGTTAAAAACGATGTATCATATATTTGAATATTGCTGAAAGAGTAGACTTTTAGTATTTCCCACCACAGATAAATGATAAGTATGTAATGTATATGTTAATTAGTTTGATTTTACCATTCCACAATTTTGTCAATTAAAATAAACTTAAAAAAAGAAAGAAAGCTGGTGGCTTTACACTGTTTTCAAGAAGTTTTACAACAGAAGTTCTATAAAAGTACCAGAGGTCTGAGGTTAGTGGAACTGGGGTGATGTTAGTCAAAGGACACATACTTTCAGTTATAAGATTAATAAGTTCTGGAGACAATGTATAGCATGATGACAACAGTTAATAATAATGTATTGTATACTTGAAATTTGCTAAGAGCATACATTCTAGGTATTCTCACCACAAAAAAGGTAATAGTTATGCTAATTAGCTTGTGGTAATCATTTAACCATATATACATATATGAAAACATCATGTTGTACACTATAAATATATACAATTTTTATTTGTCAATTATACCTTCATAAAGCTGGTGAAGAAAAGCTAAAGTAATCAAGACAATGTAAAATTGACAAAAAGATACACAAATAGAGCAATGGAACAGGATAGAGAATACAGAAGTAGATCCTCACATACGCATTCAAGTGATTTCAGCAAACTTGTCAGTTCGATTCCACGGAGAAAGGAAATTCTTTTCAACAAATGGTGCTGAAACAACAAGATATCCATATGGAAAGAAAACAAAACTTGGCTCCTACCTCACAGCATATACAAAAAAATTGAGATGGATCTTAAACAAATGTAAAGTACAAAGCTTACAGAAGAAAATTTAGGATAATACACTCATAATCTTGGAGTAGGAAAAGATTTTTAGATAGGGCACACAAAAATGCTCATTAAGAAAATAAATTGATGAATTAGAACTACATCAAAATTTTAAGACTTCTGCTCATCAAAAGACATAATGAAGAGAATGAAAAAATAAGCCACAGTCTAGAAAAAAAATATATTAACAATACAGACTGTATCTGATAGAGGACTTGTGTCCAGAATATATAAAGAATTCCAGAACGTAGGAAAAGATTTTTAGATAGGGCACACAAAAATGCTCATTAAGAAAATAAATTGATGAATTGGAACTACATCAAAATTTTAAGACTTCTGCTCATCAAAAGACATAATGAAGAGAATGAAAAAATAAGCCACAGTCTAGAAAAAAAAATATTAACAATACAGACTGTATCTGATAGAGGACTTGTGTCCAGAATATATAAAGAATTCCAGAACACCAACAAATCATTCAAAAAGACACATTACCCAGTTAGAAAGATACTTCAAAAAGACAATATGTGATTGGGCAGCAAGCACATGAAAAGAAGCTTAACATCCAAAATTCAGTGACTCAGTGGGTTCAATCTATTCCAGAGGCCCCAATGCACTATCCTGAGCCATTTTACTGAGATTATTAAAATAAGCCCCTTAGGCAATACACATCATCTGGTACTGGTCAGCAGAGAATTCTGAGTCCCTTTCATTATGATTTATTTTGTGTACTTCCAGTTCAGTTCTTATTTTTTCCTTGAGGAAGTGGGGAGAAATTGGGAGAGGACATTTTCACCCTTTGAAGAAATGTGGAAATATCCTGAATACGCTATCAGAAAGGGAAACTTTCAAAGCATGACTTATTGTGTATTGTTGAATTTTGGAAAATTTCTGAGTGCACCACCTCCCCGAGTTATTTCTGTACAATTACAAAATTACCAGTTTCCCTAGGAGGGTGGGCCATAGTGAAGTTGAATGATTGGATTTCCAGTGTGTTTAATTCCTACATGTATATGAAGAATTGTGCCTATACTTATTTTGAATCATAGCTATCTGTAAAAGAGAATAGTGTTAATTAAGCTGGAGCAGGAGATTTGAAGAGAAAGATCACAATCAGCAAGAGCTAGCCACCCCTTCTGGATCTAGCACTCTTCAACCTAGTCCATCTCATAAATTGCTGTGCCTTCCCCTGCTACATGTCTTGGCCTTATCAGCACATGCCTATCACCTGACTCCATGTCTCAATCCATTTCTAGCACTTTCTCATCCTACCTGATAATCTCCTTTTCCTTTATTCTGATTTGGGATTTTCATTAGAGTTTAGACCTAATACTGAAATTGTTTTCATAGCTCAGAACTGGGCTTCTCTAAAATCAGTAAAAAAAAAAAAAACCCTCTAATTTAGCTTCATTGTCTGTGGCTACTGGGATGATGCTCAATCAGACAGCATGAAGTCACCTTTGTTGATAGTCTTCCTTTGGGCTTGTTCATAGGACCGAGAGATTGTATAATGCAGTGAGTACAAGCTAGGGCCCTAGAGCTAGATGCCTGAATGGGAATTCCTTGTTTGACCTTGACCATGTTGTTTAACCTCTTTGTGTCTCAGTTTTCTCATCTATGACATACTGGTGGTAGTAAGACTCAATTCTAGGGTTGTTATAGGAAGTAAGTAAAATAATGTGTGTACCACAGAAAAACTATATTCAGCAATAACCATGCACTGATACTATTACTAATATTAGTATTGTTGACATTATTTCCTGGTTCTATAACAGAACTCCTGCCTTAGTCCAGAAACCCACTGCTCATCTTGGGACCAGGCTTGGTAACTGGATGCTAGTCCTGTTTTCCTATGACCGGGATCCTGTCTAGATACACTTCTTGATTCTCCAGTAAGTTCAAGGCTTTGACTTGCTTTTACCTTTTTCTCTCCCCCATACCATTTGTTGTCATATGCTGGATCCCCAGCCAAGTATCTGAGCTCCTGCCAACTACCATAGACATGGCTAGTTTAACTTTACAAATCCTTTCTTCCCTTGGGTTCCCCATAGGTATGGATTAGATGCCTATAGATATACCCTGTTAAGCCAGCTGAAGCTTCCTCATGCCAACAGTTCCACAGGAGTGCCACCTGTTACCCATTGCCATTACCTTTGATGAGACTTCTTTCTAGGTCCTATAGCTGGATCTGTTCCATCAACATCTGGTACACTTAGCTTCTAATTTTAAAGTCTGGCCTATTTGAAATTATGTTATTGCACTTAAATAGGCCCTACCTACCAATATTTTTTTCTTTTTTTAATAGGGCATAGCTACAGAATTCGATATTTAAGTTTGAGTGCTCATATGTTGATTTAGCTCATAAAGAAAATCAAGATTAAATTTCACAAGGTCTCTTTTAAGAAAATCTTTAATTACTTAATCTTAGACATTTTTATTCTGAACTATGTATTTGACATTTTTTATCTTGTAAAATAATATTAACCTTTATCTATAAGATATTTTAACTTGTAAGTCAATTTTCTAGCTTTAGTTTATTTGCTCTTCATAACTACCCTCTAAAAATTTTGGTAAAGCGATTAGAACCAAGGCTCAGCAAGCTTCTACAATTTGCTCCCAAATAAACATACAGTAAGAACTAGAATTTGAAATTAAAGTCTCCTGAATTAAGGTTGTTTTTTGGTTTGTCAGTTTTTAGTGAAATCAAATTATCTTCCAGGTGCTAATAGTGATGAACATGGATATAAAGATAAAAATCATTTTATTCTTCACTTGGTCAACAAGAGCAAGAGGATATTTTCTGTCCACTTAGGAGATTCCGTGAGTGGCCTTTATTTAAGCAGTGTGGGGCTATGGCCTCAATCATTGGCATAGGGTCTTAATTATATCAGTCAGTACTTTTTCCTTGGAAGAAGACCCGTCTTTTAAGAATTTCATGCACTGGTAAAGATTATGATGTCTATTCTTCTGTCTCATAAAGAGTCCTTTGCTGTTGGCCAAGTTGCTAATTAAAGCTGCTTATTAATGAAGCCAAATGGCAATGAATAAGTTGTAGTATACACCTGCTGAGCAAGTTGTTAAGGGAGAACTCCCTTTGTGCCTAAAACAGTTGTTCTTAGCACCTGCAATAAAGTCACAATGATATGACACTTAGTTTTTCAAGCAACTCATGTCTTCCCCAGGCCACTGTGATGGGATGCAGCACTAGTCAGAAGGTGTCAGAAAGAGAGAAAGTTAGAAAGATGTAAATGCTTTGTAATATTATTAACAGTGGGACCATTTTGGGAAGTGTATATTATAGATCACACATTCTGAGAAATGAGAATATAGCCATTAAAAGTTGCACAAAGAAAATTAGATTTGGCCAAGTTATCTCAAGGAAGTTATCTTAGTTCAGGATGCTATAACAAAATACCATAGACTGGGCTACTTAAACAACAAACATCCATTTATCACAATTCTGGAGACTAGGAAGTTCAAGATTAAGACACCAGTAGATCCAGTGTTTAGATCCAGAGTTTAGTGGGGAGGTCTCTTCCTGGTTTGCAAATAGTCATCTTCTTATCATATCCTCACATGGCAGAGAGACAAGTTCCCGTATCTCTTTTTGTAAGGCACTATTCCCATTCAGAGAGCTCCACCCTCCTGACCTAATTACCTTCTGAAGAACCCACCTCCTAATACTACCACATTGGGGTTAATATTTCCACATGTAAATTTGGGAGGAACACATTTAGTCCATAACAGAAGGGTGTACCAAAAGCACATGAACCTTCATGAGGAGTTTGCTTGCTAGAACATTCTTTGAGTAAATTTTTAGGCACTGAATCGTATATTATAGGACCCATTCTATAGAAATCAAAGAATTATACCTTCGATTTATATTAGGAAAACATATTTAAACTGACATAATTATATATCATAAATGTGTCAACCAGCGTAGTACATATTGAATGTATACATGTTGAAAGAGAGATGTACAGTAGAGAAATAATTAGCGTTGAATGGAAGGTAATCGGGGAAGGTTTCTACAGAAATGTGTTTAAAACTGGGCATGAAAATAGTGGTAGAGGACAGGGAAGAGTGACATCTAGTTGGAGTGAATTGAATAAGGAAAGATATACACAGTTGAAATATGATAAATGGCAAAGCAGTTAGCTTGGTTCCTGTAGAAGGGCAGCATTGACAAAAAATGAGAAATATTGGCATATAACAATGGCATTTTAAAATGTAAGAATGATGTGTATCTAAACTAAAAATCCTGCTGTACCAAGATCAATCTTCTTATAGCCCTGTTTGGATCATATTACTCTCCTGCTCAAAGCCTTCACTGACTCTCATTATTCATTACGCAGCACAGTGACATCATCAGGGGGATCTCCATTGACTAAAAATCCTGCTGTACCAAGATCAATCTTCTTATAGCCCTGTTTGGATCATATTACTCTTCTGCTCAAAGCCTTCACTGACTCTCATTATTCATTACGCAGCACAGTGACATCATCAGGGGGATCTCCATTAGCAGATATTTGGCTGCATTCTGCATTTCCAGTTTACTCTATCACCACTCACTCCCCTCACACACACACTCTTATTATTTGCTCTGGCCAAATTACACAACTTGCTATTCTTTAAAATTGTGTTACACATTCCACCTCTCATTTTCTTTTCCTTGTGATATTCCACCAACCTCATTTTTTTAAGCATCATTGCGATAGAATTCACATTGCCAAAAATTTACCCATTTATATAATGCAATAGTATTAGTATATTAAAAGAATTATGAAACAATCTCTATAATCTGTTTTGAACATTTTCATCATCCCTAAAATAAATTTCTATACAACAGCAGGTATTCTCCATTACTATCCTTCTTCAGCCCTGCCTTAGACAACCATTAATCTACTTGCAATCTTTATAGATTTTCCTACTTTGAACCTTTTATATAAATAAAATTATAAAATGCGTGGCCTTCTATGACTGGCTTCCTTCATGCAGTATAGTGTTTCCAAAGTTCTTCAATGTGTTAGTTTGTATCTGTGCTTCATTTCTTATTATTGCAGAATAATATTTTGTGGTATGGATATACTACATTTTATTTATCCATTCATCTGTTGATATACACTTAGTTTGTTCCAACTTTTCATCTATTATGAACAATCCCACTGTAAACATTGGTGTACAAGATTTTGTGTGGACATATGTTTTCAATTTTCCTGGATTTGTACTTAGGAGTTAAAATGCTGGATCAGATGGTGTATTGGTCCAAAGAAACAGAACCAATAGGTCACACACACACACACACACACACACACACACACACACACAGCAAAATAAGGAGGAAATACTCATGACAACTACGGAGTTAAAATGCTGGATCAGATGGTGTATTGGTCCAAAGAAACAGAACCAATAGGTCACACCCACACACACACACACACACACACACACACACACAGCAAAATAAGGAGGAAATACTCATGACAACTATGAGGAAATACTCATGACAACTATAGTCTTCATTTTTGTAACTGGCCACATTTAGTCCTAGCTGGTTTTTATAACTATCACCTTCTTCTATCCATTCTGTATTCCTTTTGCCTTCAGCAAGCACCTTAGCTGGTTGTGGTTATTTATCTGCTGGGTTGACCCAAATATTTCCCACAGGATTGGGTTAATATACTTTTCTATTGACTTCAATCACAGGGCATGGTCTTACTAAGAAACACTGTAAAGGATTTCCTATATTTCAAGAATACTCTTTCCTACCTCCATTGTAGAGTAGCAGTCCAATTTCCCTTTGGGGGGCAGGATTATTCACCTCATCCATCAGTGCCTGTTGATTCAGAGGCATGAGGAGCCAAAAAAAAAAAAAAAAAAAAAAAAAGATGGCCAGGTGTCCACGTTAACTACCAGTTCAATGGAATCATTGTTATGTCTACTGGTGGAAGCATTCCTTCCTCTAGAACTAAAACCTCTAGGCCAGCAGAACATGAGGTCATGGGTACAGGAAGCAAAACTTTTAAAGCATCACTAGGGGTAATAGTGAGTGTTACAACTTTATTTCCACTGCTTGATTCCTGGACCCATGAATCCTGAGTAAGGAAGAAATATCACCGTATATTAGACTCTGATTCAAAGCACAGACAGCCTTCTCGGAAACTTTGCCCTTTCCCTGCAAGGTGTTGCCATATAGCTGGCACTGTAACTTAGTCTTCAAAATGCCATTCCATCATTCTATCAAATCAGTTGCTTCAGGATGGTGAGGAACATGGTGAGACCAGTGAATTCCATGATCATAGGCTTACTTCCACATTTCTTTTGTAGTGGAGTTCCTTGACCAGAAGCAATGTTGGGTGAAATACCATGATGATGAATAAGACTTTCTGCAAGTCCATGGATGGTAGCTTGGGCAGAGGCACTGAATGCTGGGTAGGTAAATTTATATCCAGAGTTAAGTATCTTTTTTAGTAAGAACAAAACTATCACTTCCATTTTGCAAGCACTCCAATGTAATTAACCTGTCACCAGGTACCTGGCTGCTCAAACTGAGGAATGGTGCCATATTGGGAACTCAGTGTTGGTTTCTGCTGCTGGAAGATTGGGCACTCCACAGTGACCATAGTCAAGATGGTCTAGATGAATGGAAGACCATGTTGCTGTGTCCTTGCATAACCTCTATCCCTGCCACTATGGCCACTTTTTTACATGAACCCATTGGACAATGACAGGGGTGACTGGGGAAAAAGGCTGAGTAGTATCCACAGAACAGGTCATTCTATCCACTTGATTGCCATAATTCTCCTCTCCTGAAGTCACCCTATGGTGATCATTCACATGGGACAGAAATATCTTCACATTTCTTGTGCATACAAAGAGATCTATCCACACACCATTTTCCCAAATTTTTATGTCACCTATATTCGATCGTGTTTCTTCCAAGTCTCTGAACATCTAGCTAAACCATTTGCTGCAGCCCATGAGTCCATATGTAATTGCATGTCTGGTCATTTTTCCTCCTAAACCAAGTAAACAAGGTGCACTGTGTGATGTTTTGCCCTCTAGGAGGTATTTCCTTTGCCATTATCCTTCAGTAATGTCCCAGATAGGGGCTATCTGCTCTTGGGTGGTGCCTGCATATTGTTCAGGACCACCTGTAAACCAAGCCTGAATCTTCTGTTCCTCTGTCAACTGATTATGAGGCCATAGGGCAGGCTGGGATAGAAAAGGCAGTGTAGCAGGAGTGGGAATGATGGACGTTTGAACCACTTCTTTATGTAACCAATTTGTGCCTACAGAGCCTGCTCAGGCCAGATCTCATCCCCACAGCTACAGGACAGAGGGTTTCCTTCAAGGCACAAATAAATACCTTCAGTTTATTTATATAGCTCTTAAGCTGGAAATTTGAATCATTGAGCTCATCTTTTTCTTTCACCATTTTTTCCCAATGATGTTAGGAGCAACCAGTGAAACTCATTACATTCTTTAGTTTTCCAGAAATGTTCAAAAATTATGAACACAGTCATCCAGCTCCTTGCTTTTTATAAATTGTTAATTTATCTAACGGCCCAGGAATTGATATGAGCAAATACTCCACTCTCAGTACCAATATTTGTATATACATAAATATACAAGGGTACTTCAAAAAGTTCATGGAATGGTTTGTTTTTTCTTTCAATTCTACTTTTCCATGAACCTTTTGAAATATACATATATGCATTTTTATGGGTACTTCAAAAAGATATATATATATCTTCACATATAAATGTGTACCTTTATATATGGAGAGAGACAGAGACACAGAGAGACAGAGAGAGAGAGAGAGAGATTTTGTTATGAGAAATTAGCTCAATTCCTCATAGTTATGATTATGGAAAAATACCACAATCTGCCATCTGTGATCTGGAGACTCAGGAAAGTTGACAGTATAAATTCCAGATTGAGTTCAAAGTCCTGATAACCAGGAGCACTAATGGACTGATAGTTTAAGTCCCAGTCTAAGGGTAGGAAAAGACTTATGTGTCAGTTCATGCAGTCAGGCAGAGAGAATTCAACATTTCTCTGCCTCTTTGTTCTATTCAGACCCTCAATGGATTGGGTAATGCTCTCACACATTGGGGAGGGCAATCTGCTTTACTCAGTTTACCAGTTCAAATACTAATCTCTTCTGAAAACACCCCCATAGGCACACCCAGAAATAATGCTTACCAGATATCTGGGCATCTGGCCCAGTCAAATTGACACATAAAATTAACCATCACATATGGTAACTCTATGTTTAAAGTTTTGAGAAACTGCCAAACTGTATTCCAAAATGACAGCCTCATTTTAAATTGTCAACAGCAATATACGAAGGTACCTCTTTGACAATGTGGATAGTGCTGTTATGAACACGGCTGTGTAAATATCTCTTGAAGACCCTGCTTTCAATTATTTTGGGTATATACATAGAAGTATGATTACTGGACCATCAGTAGATCTACTTTTAATTTTTTAAGGAAGCTCCATACTGTTTTTCATAGCACTTTCACCATTTTACAATCCCACCAACAGTGCACAAGTGTCCCAATTTCTCCACATCCTCTCCAAAACTTATTTGCTCTTTTGTTTGTTTGTTTGTTTATAGTAGCCATCCTTAGGGGTGTGAAGTGGTATTTTATTATGATTTTGACTTACATTTATCTAATAGCTAAAGATGTTAGGAATCCTTTTATTTGCTTATTGACCATTTGTATATCCCCTTTGGAGACATATCTATTGAAATCCTATGCACATTTTGAATTGGGTGCTTGGACTTTTTATTACTGAGTTTTATAAATTCTTTATATATTTTATATACCCATCAGTCCCTTATCAGTGGATGATTTCCAAATATTTTCTCTATTCTTAGAGTTACCTTTTCACTCTATCGAGGGTATCCTTTGCAGGACTAAAGTTTAAATGTTGATATGGTCCAATTACCTATTTTGTTTTTTTGTCCCTTGTTCTTTTGGTGTTATATTTAAGATATCACTGCCTCATTCAAGGCCACAGAGATTTACTCGTATATTTTCTTCTAAAAGTGTTATAGTGTTAGCTCTTACACTTAGGTCTAAAATTCATTTTGAGTTAATTTTTGTGTCTGATGTGAGTTAAAAAGCAAAATTCAATTTTTTGCATGTGAATATCTAGTTGTCCTAGTATCATTTGTTGGAGAGACTGTCCTTTCCCTCATAAAATGCCTTTGCACTTATGTGAAAAATCAATTGACTACAATTGTAAGATTTATTTCTGCATTCTCAACTTTATTGCTTTGATCTGTATGTCTCTTCATACACTAGGACCACACTGTCTTGACTACTGCAACTGTGTGTGTGCAGCAGGTTTTGAAATTAGGATGTCTGAATGCCTCAATTTTGTCCTTTTTCAAGATTATGTTGGCTGTCTTTCTTTTATTTTCCATAAGAATTTTAGCATTAGCTTGTAATTTTTTGGAAAAAAAAGGCAGCTGGAATTTTGACAAAGATTTCATTAAATCAGATTAATTTTGAGAATATTGCCATCGTAATAATATTCCCTCAATTAGGAGTATCTTTCTACTTATTTAAGTCTTAATTTATTTCAAAATGTTTTGTTTTCACTGTAAAAGTCTTGCACTTATGTTGTGAAATTTATTACTAAGCACTTTATTCTTTTTGATCCTATTGTAAATGAAATTTGTTTCTAGATTTATTTTTGGATTATTTATTACTCATGTTGAGAAACGTAATTAAATATTGTACATTGATCTTGAATTCTATCATTGATAAACTCATTCATTAGTTCTAATAATTTTTTTTCCCTTGAAATCCTTTGGCTTTTCCATATATAAGATCATGTCATCTGTGAATATTGATAGTTTTCTCTCCCTTTCCAACATGGATGCCTCCCCCTTCCCCCCCTTTTTTTTTTTTTTTTTTTTTTTTTTTGGTCTAAGACATTCTTGCATTATTCCTGAAAATACAGGGAAAACACCCAACCATTAAGTAATGATGTTATCTGTGGATTTTCATAGGCACCCATTATTAGATAGAGGAAGTTTCCTTCTACTCCTGGTTTGTTGGGTGTTTTGGTTTTATTTTCATCATGATAATGTGCGGAATTTTGTAAACAAAATATTTTTTCTATGACTTTTGAAATAATTATGTGATTATTTTCTTCTATTGATGTGGTGTGTCACATTGATTTTTTGCATGTAAACCAATCTTAATTTTCTGGACTAAATTCTACTGGATTATGGGAAGCAATCTTTTTATATATTACTAGATGTATTATTTAATTAATGTGTTAAGAATTTTTGTACCTATTTTTGATATACATCTATTTCAAAAGATATGGGTCTGTGATTTTCTTGTGAATTTTCTTGTGATATTTTGCCTATTTTTCATATCAGGTTAATAATAGCCACATAAAATTTGGAAGTGTTCTCTTCCCTTCTATTTTTGAAAGAGGTTGTGAAGGATTGTTATTAATTCTTTAAATGTTTGGTACAATTCATCAGTAAAATTACCTTGGTCTAGGTATTTATCTTTTGGAATTTATAAAATTACTAATATAATGCCTTTGCTTTTTATAGCTTTATTCAGATTTTGTATTTCTTATTGAGTCAGTTTCTGTTGTTTTCATCTTTCTAGGAATTGCCCATGTTATGTAAATTATATAATTTGCATGTATATATTTATTTATAGTTTTCCTTTATAATCCTTATTTCTGTAAAGTCAGTAGTAATGTTTGCTCTTTTGTTTCTGGTTTTGGCAATTTCAGTCTTCTCTCTTGATCAATCTAGCTAAAGATTTGTCAATTTTCTTCATCTTTTTATTTTCTCTATTTTTTAGTCTCTATTCCATATATATTTACTTTAATTGTTATTATTTTCTTTCTCCTGCTTGCTTTGAGTTTACTATGCTCTACTTTTTTCTGTGTCTTAAAGTGGAATATTAGGTTATTTATTTGAGCTCTTCCATTTTTACTAATGTAGGCATTTGCAGCAATAAATTTCCCTCTAAAAGCTACTTTAGCTGAATCTCTTAAATTGTTGTATGCTGTCTTCTCATTTTCATTTGCCTCAGGGTGTTTTCTAATTTCCTTTTCGATTTCTTTTTAGAGCCATTTTTATATATTTGTGAATTTCCTGATGTTGCTGATTTCTAATTTAATTTCATTGTAGTTGGAGAATAACTTTGTATGATTTCAATTTCTTTAAATATAGTAAGTCTTGCTTTATTGCCTAGCTTATGTCCTATCTTGGAGAATATTCTATGTGTGCTTGAGAAGAATATTTATTCTGCTGTTGATGAGTGGAATACTCCATAGATATCTGTTACATCTAATTAGTTTATAGCATTGTTCAATTCTTCAATTTACTTGTGGAATTTCTGACTAGTCATTCTATCCATTATTGAAGTGGAATATTT